TATCTCTTAAGACAATGCCTTGTCTATCTATATGAAATGACTCCCGATTATGTTTAGCCTTTCTAAAATCACCTAGTGTAGACCACTCCGTTGGGGAGCTAACACGATTAATTTTAGATTGAGTATATAACATTATTAATGCTCTAATGAAAAATAAAACATTAAATATGTTGTCATTATAATCTAGACTCTTTAAATCATGCGTAGGGCCTTATTTTTAAAGATCTAATTACAATGAACATTTAATATTTTTATTTTCATGAGACAACCATTCTTGTAATATTAAGACTCTTCAAATCATGCGTGGGGCCTTATTTTTGAAGATCTAATTACAATGGTTTTAATAACGAAGGCCATGGGGCAATGTATAAAAATCCCCGCTCCCACTCAATTTTTAATCATTCATAATTAGGGTTTTCATTTTATTCATTTACATGATATAATGCATGCAAAACGTCTTGATTTTAATCCAATTAAATTTAGAAAATATTTGGACTTTAAACGATTCACTAATATTTAACTTGAGGCACACTTCAAAAATAATTTATAAAAATAATTTTTCGTTTCCCAATAAGTGCCCTCTAATTAATTAGTAATCAAATCCAATTAATTTTCATAATTTAACTAATATAAATCAAGCCATTTAAATAAATATCATGGATCCAATGCATGAACAATAATTAATTAACAATTATATATTCCATGCATTTCATACATCGCATAAATAAATAAATGACAGATAAAGCAAATAAAATGGCCAATGGAATCAGCTTTTAACATTTAATTGCTCTAATCACTGCGCGAAGATCTTCCATCAGCTTGCAAACACCCACATAAGGTTGGTACGCACCAGGAGAAGCAAAACACGGCTTGGAACGCGACTGGAGGGCCCCACACGCGCCTGGGGCATGCTGCAGGTGAAGCCACGCGCCCCCACGCGCTGGCACGCGCCTGGGGCGCGTGGGACGCGCCCCCACGCGCTGGCACGCGCGTGGGACGCGTGGGACGCGCCTCCACGCGCCTGCACGCGCGTGGAGGCCATACACACTTGGCTGGCGCGTGCAATGCACGCGCCAGCACATGTCACCTCCTGGCGCGTGTTCCTCACGCGCCAGGCTCACCCCACCGCTGCCACACCTGATTCTAGCCTCCTCCGACGTCTCTTCTCGCCGCCGGTGAAGCTCCGGCCACCGAAAAAATGCCGAAAAATCCAGAAAAATTAATAAAAATTTCCAGAAATTAAATTAGGCCTTAAAAAATTCCAGAAAAATTTCGAAAAATTGCTAAAAAATCCCAGAAAATTTCTGAAGCCTAATTTAACCCTCTTGGACCTTCTTGAAGCTTCATAGCATCCTTTGATGAATATTACATGGCTTTAAAAATATTTACAACTTGAAATACAATGGGAAAAATAAATTACATCATTGAACTTTCAAACGGCTAAATCAAAGCCTTAATTACATTCATCCAAAGATAAAATTACATGTAATATTCCTATAAGCTTCATTCATGGCCCAACCACACATCATCATCCATTCACAATTATACATACATTAACATGTATTAATATATATCAACATAATAAATCATACATCAACATATATCAATAATTTTATATATGTATATATAATTTGGATCCATGAATATGATTTTTATAAACACATGTTCTCTAGTAATGAATCAAACAATGTGCTCTGATACCACTGTTGGGAAACGTGCAAGTTCTAAAAACTTTTCGAGGGATTTTGATTCATAGATCTTGATTCATCACATAGAGACAAGTTTTATGCAAAAATAAAAATATGATGTATCATTCAATTAATGGATTGAATACTTACATCAAAGGTCTGAGTAAACCTTTAAAACTTTCCTCTAAAGTGAATGTTCTCACTTATTGTAGATCCCTTAGCAAGATACCTTCTCCTTGGATCTCCATCTTCTTGGTAATTATTATGCCTTTAGGAATCACTCATAAGCCTCCATGAATTACCTTGGAAAACTAGGCTTGTGGGAGCCTCTATTAGATGAGACCATAAACCCTAATTTTCTAGAGAGAGAAAATTTATTCCTTTTTCCTTCTCATAAAAATCACCACCTAAAATATACATAGACCATGTATATTTATAGGCAACATAAAAATAAAGAAAAGGAAACAACAAATCCTTCTCCATCTCTAATTCATATGTCTCAAATCTAATATGATTCCAATATCAAGTTGGGCTATGAGTGAGAATCCATTGGGCCTATTATTTTATTGGCTACAATGAATTAATAATTGGCCCGGTCCATGGACCCAATTCAATTAATTCATAAATTAATTTCTACTCCACTAAAAGAAATTAATTGAACTCCAATTAAATAATAAATAACCTCTAAGTCAATATTGCACTTTGACCCCTCTTTGCATAATTAGTTATCGGATAAATATAGCCATCAATCCGACTACTTAATTAATATATTTATTTTGGTACCTTTGATTATTCCTGGCTCGATCACAATAAAACATTTGTTTGACAAAAATAATAATTTAAATAAATAAATATATAATAAATCATTTTGTCTAAAACCACACGAAGGCCTTCGAATTTACTTTGTGATCAACCATAATCAATACAAAATAAATACAAGTAGCAATGATGCAAATATTGAAAATATAACCCTCTAACTATTAATTACATAACTACCCAAAGTGTCGGTCTAAGGATCCCGAAGAATCCGCCGAACAAATCAAAGTAATTATTAATTAATAAAAGAGTCTATACTTTTCTCATGCTTAAGAGTCAAATACCATGACGATGATAGGGAGTAATTGCATACGACGGCTCTCGCAATATATCTTAACCTAACGCGGATCCAGTTCAAGTCTTAATTAATTATGAGTCCATCCATAATTACCGACTATGAACAATTTATAATTACTATTTATATATCATGCATTGATTGTCATCACATGCATATATATAAATATTTCTTGTAATTAAATGGACACTATCAATTTCATAGTGAATCGAAACATAATACATTGAATTCACCAATTATATAAATCATAAATATTTCAGATATGTCAGGAACATATGTCACTACAATCCAGATAGGAATTTGCTATGCCAGGGCATATAAATTCCAACAGTACGTTAAGAAAATATTGGGATGTTGTTAAAGAGAAAGTTGGGATGTATAGATTTTGTATATATGCACTAAAAACTGACTTACTCTCTTTTGTCTTTTTTACCTAAATGACATGGCAAACTTTGTATATATACACTAATACGTCTTCAGTAAAAATTGATTTACTTTCTTTTCTCTTCTTTGACTAACTGATATAACAAAATGGTGTACACATATTACTCACAGGCTGGGACATATTCCCTATTGCACTGGAGACGATTTTGATCCTGGATTGTTAGTGTCTAGCAATAGTAACCGGTACAAAACATTCTATTGCTTTTCATTCATTTTTTTATTTATTGGGTAAAGTACAATGACACCTTCTAAGGTTTGGAGTAAGGACAGATAGATACAAGTTAGCCTATTTTTGAATAATGACACCCCCTGATAAGATTTGCAATCCAAATAGAGCCTAAAAACATGTGAAAAGTCTACTTTACCCTTCATTATTTGATTAATTTTAATGTTAAGGTATCAAAATAATAAGAGGACCGAATTACCCTTTTCCCCTCTCTCTCTTTATATATATAATATATATACTATACGCATACTTGTTTCGACAAAAAATAATAAAATTAGCTCCAACTGACTCTTTGTGTCGTCTTTTACATCCACTATTAAAGCCCTAAACCAGTGAAATCCACACTCTTCATCTTTAAGTCCCTATTAGCAATTTTGCTTTTTTGATTCACTATAGTCACATAAATTGAATTTGAAGAGTCAGCTCACTCAAATTTAAACCCATTCACAACAAAAACTTAATTTTTCAATTCTCTAGAAAATCCAATTTTGTTCATCTCCTTTATGTCCGTTGTAGTGTCGAGGCCACCGATCATCACCACAATCATCACCAATTTTGTTCGTCTATGGATTTCTTGCGGGAACACTTGGAGCTGTGCTGCTGTTCGCCATTGCATCGTGAATTCACTGAAGAATTCGGCATCGCCAGCGGAATTGGAGACCTCCAATCCCGTGCCCATAAATTTCAAATCAAACACACTCCAAGATTCGTGAAATACATTCCAAGATTCGTAGTTCTGAAGATAAATTTCAAATTTTCAAATCAAACTGTGTGAACCCATAACCACCACCACTACCACTCTGTATTCCGGCGTGCCAACATGACCACCAACATTGCCTTTTGTCTTCTACCTCAGCAAAATCCACCATTGCCCTTTCACTGTCGTGCTCACCCCTTCATCGCTATTCACTCCTTGCTTGTCAAAACCGTTGCTGAGCTCTATTGCGGTCGATCCGTGCATGCGAATTTGATCAGCCTCCATTTTTTCGGGGCTTTGTTACGGCTCCCTCATCGTCGTGGTGACAGTGGTAGTGAATACACCGTGGTGGGTGGTTTTAGGGATGGAGACGTTGGTGGGTTTGAGGGAAAAGCAGTGGCGGCTTTGTTTGGGTCAGGGTTGGGGTTTGAGAGGAGAAAGAGAACAAGCGAGTGAGTAGACATAAAAAATGGGTTTTCAGATGGGTTATACTCGGTAACCCATTCACACCTATTTGATCCAAGGGCATTTTAGTTAATCGAAAATGGTTGTATGGTTTAAATTGATAATTTAATGTGTCAAAGGTAGCAATGTCAATTCACCATTGTTAGGGTGTCTTTGTTCACTTTATCAAACATGAGGGAGTGTCATTGTTTAAAAATTGACCAACTTGTATATATCTGTCCTTACCCGAAATCTCAGTGCGTGCCATTGTACTTTACCTAATTTATTTTTAGGACAAAATTTTAAATTTTAAATTTTAAATTCTTGCCAAATAAATGTTAATTCAAGACAAAACTTTGAGTTTTACTATTTAGATGGCTGGTAGGATTGAATGTAAAATCCAAGTGAAGTACAAATTGAAAAATTGATCCCGAGTCATTTAAGAGGAAGATCGGGAGGTGAGATGGTTAAATTGATTGATTGCTGCTCATAGGGATAGGTCGTATTCATTGGTAGGGGATTGTTGGTAGAGGATGGTGTATTTATTTGTTTAGGGCTAGGGCTAGGGCTAGGCTAGGGCTAGGGCTAAATCGATACTTCTAATTCCAAACATATGATATATATGATATTAGCATGGCATCAAAATCACGATCTGAAATCTTAGGGCTGCCGTGAAATTCAAGCGGACGACCTCTTCCGGCGACCTTTCATAGATATATATGTATGTATGTTCTCTTCTAACTCTGCTGTTTCTTTCCTTCGTTTGGAAATGAATATATATATATAGATTGTGGATTTCTCATAAAGACACAATTTTACACTTCCTATCTGATGAGATGATGAATTTAGTAGTAGATATTTTGATTATGCACACCAAGTTACAATTAGCATGGAATGAATATCATATGGTACCTGTTTTCTTAGATCTTACAATAATTCTGTATATTATTGTTAGTTTCTTTAGTGGTAAACATGCTTCTTTGACTCACCTAGCAAAATGAAGTTTTTCCAGAATATCATCTAAGTACATTATTTTCGTGAAATGGACTTCCTATCAAAAAAATAAAAATAAAATTAGTGTTCTCCATGGACATTGATCTTGAACTGCCTTCTGGTCAGGAGGATAAACTAGACGCGGGATCAAACAAAAACACAAACTCTGTTGACGGTATGGATGCAGGGCATTGTGGTGAAGAGGGTGTAAATTCCCCTAGAATGAGTGGACCTGTTCAAGGAAACCCTGGACCAAATTTGGGTCACAACGTCGTCATCAGGAGTGGGGATGGAATGGATGTGAATACTCTTGAAGTGGATGTTGTTAATAAAGGGGTAATTTGTTACGAGCCCCAGAGTGGGTTGGAGTTTGAATCTAAGGAAGAAGCATATTCTTTCTACAGAGATTATGCTAGGTCCGTGGGATTTGGCATTACAATAAAAGCCAGTCGCCGGTCAAAAAGATCAGGGAAGTTTATTGATGTCAAAATTGCATGTTCTAGATTTGGAAGCAAGCGCGACTCCTCTTGTACAACCGCTCCTAATTCACGGTCATGTCCAAAAACAGACTGCAAGGCAAGCATGCATATGAAGAGAAGAGAGGATGGAAAATGGTTCATATATAGTTTTGTAAAGGAGCATAACCATGAAATTTGTCCAGATGACTTTTATCATGCTATCAGGGGATGGAACAAACAGCCTGCTGTTGTTGCTTGTCAAAAGAAAGGACTGCAGTTGGCCTTAGATGAGGAAGATGTGAAAGTGTTGCTCAGCCATTTTATTCTTATGCAAGATGAGAATCCCGGTTTTCTGTATGCAATAGATTTGGATCATGAAAAACGAATGAGAAATGTGTTTTGGGTTGATGCGAAAGGTAGGCATGATTACAGCAATTTTTATGATGTAGTCTTCTTTGATACCAGTTATGTGAGAAACAAGCATCAAATCCCCTTTGCTCCCATTATTGGGGTGAATCATCACTTTCAGTTCACGTTGCTTGGGTGTGCATTGATTGGGGACGAAACTTTATCAACATACGTTTGGGTAATGCGCACATGGCTTGGAGCAATGAGTGGTCAATGTCCAAGAGTAATTATTACTGATGAAGACAAGTCACTGAAAGCAGCTACCAAAGAGGTGTTTCCTGATGCACGCCACTGTTTCTGTTTGTGGCACGTACTGTCTAAAATTACTGAAAATCTTGGTCATATTATTGATCGGTGTGAAAATTTTATGATGAAATTTAACAAATGCATATATCGATCTTGGACAGATGAACAGTTTGTAAAAAGATGGTGGAAAATAGTTGATAAATTTGACCTTGGGGAGAATGAATGGATTCAATCATTGCATGAAGATCGTAAAAAGTGGGTTCCAACTTATATGAGGGATACTTTCTTAGCTGGAATTTGTACAACCGAGCGATCTGAAAGTATATCTTCTTTATTTGACAAGTACATCTGCAAGGTAACTACATTTAAGGAGTTCATTGATCAGTACAAAATATTTTTGCATGACAGGTATGAAGAAGAAGCCAAAGCTGATGTTGAAATGCGGCAAAGACAACCAGCATTAAGGTCACTTTCACCATTTGAGAAACAAATGTCGACAGTTTATACTCATGCGATATTCAAGAAGTTTCAAGTTGAGGTTTTGGGAATAGTTTCTTGTAATCTGCAAAAAGAAAGTGAAGACCAGACAACTGCAACATTCCGTGTTGACGATTTTGAGGAGCAGCAGAATTTCATTGTATCTTGGAATGAAGCAGAGCTCAATATCTGTTGTTTATGTCATTCATTTGAATATAGAGGTTTTCTTTGTAGACATGCAATGATTGTTCTTCAAATGTCTGGTGTTTCCAGCATCCCAACTCACTATATACTGAAACGATGGACAAAAGATGCAGTGAAAATCCCACAGACCATGAGTGAAATACCAAACAGACTTCAGTACAGGGTCCAACGTTTCAATGATCTATGCAAACGAGCCATTAAATTAGGTGAAAAAGGGTCTTTATCTCCTGAAACCTATGATATTGCCTTTCATGCACTAGAGGAAGCCTTGAAACATTGTGTGGGTGTTAAACATTCTGTCGGGAGTGTTTTAGAGCCTAACATGCTGACTACTCAAGGTTCTTTTACCATTGAAGAAGAGAATCCAGGCAACAATTTGGCCAAGGCATCAAAGAGAAAAAAAGTACATAAGAAGCGAAAGGTCAGTTTTTTATTTTTATTTTTTTTTGTTCTCCCTGGAAGTTCAAGCAAATGCACACACTTGCAACATTGCCCCTCCCAGGGCTCAAACTGTCAAGCTCGCAAATGCATCAGATGCGAGTTTAGAACTTTTTAAAATGATGAAATCCTTGAAGTAGATATAATTTGTATGTTTTAGGTACAATTGGAGTCAGAAGCAATAAGTCTTGGGATGCAAGAGAGCAATCAGCCAATGGTTTCTCAGCTATTAGTTCTTGTTTACAAAAGAATATTTACTCAAGCAACTGTAATATGATTTTAATACAAGTATATATACATTCTTGGTTTCATGTATGTATGCAGGAACAGTTGAACCCAAGAACAGACGCCCTTGAAAACTGTTATGTTGGTCAACAGAGCATGCAAGGGATGGTACGACATAACCTGAGAGTGACTGCACCTTATTGCCATAATAAATAATTGGTTTGCTTTTGTAGTTTTCTGATTCTAGAAAATTGGGCTCTTTGTAAATTTCTACAGGAACTAGGACGATCAAGGGGACCAACACTGGATGGCGTCTATTACGGTGCTCAGCAGCAGCAGCAGAGTGTGCAAGGAGTGGTATATATATATATATGGTCTGCTAGTCCTCCTGATAGTAGTAACATGCTAATCAAGAGATGGCTAGCTATTTGTGATTGGTTTTCTAAATGATGATGATTAGTTAATTGCAGCAGTGTTTGTTTATTGCAGGGACAATTAAACCCAATCTCATCAATGCGAGATGGCTATTATAACAATCAACAGTCTGGTAGGCCACAACACATAATCTTATTTAGAGTGCTTGATGATTTTTGGGCAGCAAATAATATGATTCTAACTATTTGGTTCAATTTATTTTTTTGGTTCTTCTTAATTTCAGGGACAATTGTATACAATTCCAATACGTGTTGGTCATTATAGTACTCAACAAAACCTACCATGATTGGACTGGATTCAATAATAATGGAATTTTCATGAAACAATTTTGTTTCATTTACCGGTCTTTTTGAATATTGATGCACTTGAGTTCAGTGTTAATGTACAATGTGTTTTATCATTTGTAATAATAATTAAATACTTATATATTTATTATTTTTAACTTTCAAGTAGGCCAATTGTTGGTAACAACAAAGAGATGGATTTTCTTTCCCTTCTATGTTGGGTTGGGGGGAAAAGAGAGAAGAAAAAACACACATCCAAACATGAATAAGAAAACTTTGAATAGAGTAAAAGAAAATCACCAACAGTAACCAACTTCTCTTCTTTCTGTTGGTTTTCAATCCAATATAACTTCAATTTTCTATCAAAAGGTTATTCAAACTACCAATTTACCAAATTTTCTTTTTGAGAAGAATTATTGAAACAAATATTTCACTTGGGTAGGGCCCAAAATGCTTACATTCTTCTTTAATTTTACACTAGAGAATAATTCATAATTAAGCAATGTTGCCAACTTCATTGCTTAAAAGTAATTCTGTAACAAGTTCTCCTTTCTAGCAATAATAAGAACATTCACATCATTTTACAAATTTGCTGAAAATAAATGTGTAGTCTCTTCTCTTCTGCAAACTCTTTCAATGGATATCGGATGATCTCTTCTTCACTTTGCACCACAGCCCATTCTTTGTATGAATTGTTGCCCCTGTAACAAGTTCTACTGATTCAGGGGGCCCTTTCAGTTCAAAATCAAACTTTTGTAACAACATAGCCAATGCTATAGTCGATTCCATGAGCGCAAATTGGTCTCCAACACATCTTCTTGGCCCTCCACCAAAAGGCAAGAAGGCGAAATCTGATATAACCTGGCAATAGCAGAGCATCAAACACCCCATTAAGTTCAGTTGACATTTGAAAATGCGAAAACATTTAAAGAATACATAAATTATTAAGTGACCTCATTCGGATATAATGCTCCGGGGCTGCGAGATGGATCAAAACCGGCCCATCCTTCAATGCCTTCACTCTTTCTTTGTGACAGAAACCTTTCTGGTTCAAATTCATGAGGTTTGTCCCAGAAGTATGGTGATCTATGGAGATTATATACCTGATTGGATGGATTTAAAATGAAACGTTTGCTTGTAACAAATTTTACGTCACAAGCCAAAGTGCGGAAGAAGACTATGAACTGTTTTTCTATATGAAGATACCTCTTGTAATTATTTTTGCTTTGAAAGATTCAACAACATGAACACCCCACACATTCATCATGCCATTTAAAATCACTTGCTAAAGGAATAAAGGCATAAATGAACCACTTACAGAAATAAATATATCAGTTCCTACAGGAATTGCGTATCCATCATTGTCACCCTTGTACCCTCCTGCGTAATTGAAATAAATTCCAGGGGTTACCATATTTTACTAGAAGGAAAATCTTTACTCTTAAAAAATTTAGGTGAGAGTTTTCGGCATGCTTGTCCTTTGTTTTTCCTTCTTCAACCACCACAAGGGAAAAATAACAATAAAAAAGATTAGAATAAAATTACAGCAAACCTTCTTAAAAAAGCCCACTGAGCAATAACCGCTTCCTTTTTCTGATCAAGTCTATGGGATTAACCAATTACTTATTCAGATAGATTTATTTGAGTTCTAGTTCTACTCGCACATCACTCACTACAACCACCAACGTAAGAGCTGGTAAAGCCCAAGACTAATAGAAGAACTCACATCAATACAAACATTCAAGCTGTCAAACTTATAAAACGCCCCTCAACAATCTAAATCGTTATTCATTTGTTGGTGACATTGCTAAAGAATCGTTTGATGCTTCCAATAAAATAAAAGGCAAATGTCAACTCAAATTTCTTCTACATGTTCAGATATTAAAATTTTCCTATTTATATATATATACTTAATACTTTTAATGAAATTTATAGACAAGTTGATGACAAATGTTATATAATCCCAATTATGAAACGCCCATGAACAATCTAAATCGTCAAGGATAGTCTCTGGTTCCATTTTACTTATTGACCCCTAAAGGAAGATGAAATATATAGACTTCAGATAATGGAAGGTCAGAAAATTTTCCAAGTCCAAAACACAAATTGGATCTACATGGGAGAACTTAAAATGGACTTGCAAATTTGCTACTGCATTTTGTAACAGGCTTTTTAGTCTAAATCTATTGACTCTTCTAAATGTGTAAAGTTGCAATTGCAGACATGAGATGACATGAACATGGAACTAATCCCTTGGTTTCTTGTTAACTAATCCCAACTCTTCAAGGCCTCCCAAAAACATAATAGAAGCAAAAAAGAGCAGAGACCTGCTAATGGGAGGACTAAAGCCAATACCAATGATTTCAGGAGATCACTAAAAGGAAAAAGGAAAAAGGAAAAAGAAAGAAGAGAGAGAGAGATCCCTCCCTCCAAAAGATCCTACACATAGGAATGAAAGAGTTGGAAATTCTAGTACTATGTTGGAAAACTCTTGCCTCCATAATGAGGGAACTCAGATGTGCATCCCTTGCAAAAAGAAAGAAAAGGAAATAGCCAGATTAAGTAGCTTTAAAAGAGTCAAACAGATAGATGACATGACTAATCTGAAGTGGGGAAGTATGCTAGAGAGGGACAAGACACACAACAAAGAGAATTTCTGGAGAAAACTTGTCTACCTTTCTTTTCGGGAGACTTCCTTTATATAATAATATTTACTATTCTATACAAGGAATGCTTACAACAATCATATCCCAAGATTTTGGATATCCACAAATAATATTCCTAACTACAAGCAATCTGTAAATAATCTAAATTAGAATGGAATCCCTAATTATAAGCTATCTTACAACACATCAAATCATCTAATTTTGGTATGCAGATCACCTCAAAGGCGTATAGAAGAGCCCACCCAAAAAAAAAAATATTAATAGTATTAGCCCACCCAATCAAGCCCAAGTCAACTCAGCCACCATACTAAAATTAGCCCACCCCAACGAGAAATCCTAGATCCGCCCTTGGATCACCTCCTCTGATACTCCCCCTCAAATTGATGTTGGTGAATTCACAAGCATCAATTTGTCAACTAAGAACTGGTGACGAGTCTTAGTCAAGGCTTTAGTGAAAATATCTGCAGTTTGGAAATCTATTAACACGAGGCAAAGTAATGAGATGATTAGCATAGGCTTCCCGATTGTAGTGACAATCAACCTCTATGTGTTTAGTCCGTTCATAAAATACTGGATTTTCTGTAATCCGTATGGCACTTGTGTAATCAGCATGTAGAGAAGTAGGATTTAGTTGAGGGACCTAATTAAGATAGAAGACGACGAAACCAAACGATTTCAGAACAAGCAGAAGACAAGGCTCGATATTCTGCCTCGGTAAAAGATTTTGAAACTCATTCTTGTTTCTTGCATTTCCATGACACAAGGGAGCCATTGAGATACATGCACCACTCCGTTGTATATCGACGAGAATCAGGACAACCTGCCCAGTCAGCATCACTATAAGTTGTAAGTTGGAGAGATGAACCAGCTTTATAAAATACCCCACGCTCTGGAGTACCGAGTAAATAGCGAATGATCCGTTTGACAACTGCAAGATGAAGATGTCGAGGTTGATGCATAAACTGACTCATCAAATTAACTGCATAAGAAATATCTGGTCTAATGATTGTCAAATAAACCAAGCTCCCAACCAGTCGCCTATTTGTCCTAGGATCAGAGTGTAGTAGGCCTTCATCTTTTTTATACTTAACATTAATTTCAAGTGCAGTATCTACTGGAGTGAGTGCTCGAGTCCAGCTAAAGCAAGCAGATCTTTGGCACATTATCTGATTGATGCACTTCAAGGCCTAGGAAATATGTGAGGTTTCCAAGATCCTTCATGTGGAAAGAAGTGTGTAAAGAAGCCTGTAGTTGTTGAATGCCTACTGTATCTGTACCACTGATGATGATGTCGTCCACATATACAAGGAGAATGGTGATACTGGTTTCACGACGATGAAGAAACATAGAAGGATCATTGGTACTATGATTAAAGCCAAATTGACGAAGAGTGTCACAAACTTTTCAAACCAGGCTCGTGGTGCCTGTTTCAGCCAATAAAGAAAGCGTCGTAAATGACACACATCTGATGCGAAATTGCTTGTGACACCAGGTGGAAGTCTTATATAGACTTCTTTCAAATCACCATGTAAGAAGGCGTTTTTACATCCATTTGAAAAAAAGGCCAAGATTGAGAAGCTGCAATAGCAAGCATTGTACAAACAGTTGTCATTTTTGCCACAGGAGCAAAAGTCTTTTCATAATTAATGCCATACCTTGCCAATTCCCGAGAGTGACCAAACGAGCTTTATATCATCTAAGGAGCCATCAGATCTAAGTTTAATGGAGTAAACCCATTTGCAACCAATTGGTTTGTGACCAAGAGGACAAGGAACAATATCCCAAGTAAGGTTTTTCTCTAAAGCTTACAATTCTTCCTTCATAGCTTGTTTCCAACATGAGTGTTGTATGGCCTGAGTTGGGAATAGATTTTGATGACAGAGTGGTCATAAGAATAAGGTGATCAGGAGGTTTGGTTTGGCGAGTGGATCTTCGAAGAGGAGGCGGCTGTGGACTTGGATCAGGAGATGGAGAGGAGTCACGGTTAGGACCTTCTTCTGCAGCAATGGTTGTTTTACCTCGTCGCTTATAAACTAGCCCAGGTGTAACCCTTGTGAAAACAGAAGGATTACTACTAAAGTCATGAAGATAAGAAAAGGAAGACGGAGAGAAGGGACATGAGTATTTTGAAAGAAATATTGTTTCTCAACAAAGGCAACATTACGAGAGGTACGAATGCGACAGACAGAAGAATCGTAACACAGAAAACCTTTTTGATGAGATGCATACCCAAGAAATGCACAATGAGCAGATTGCGCAGATAATTAGTTTCGTTCTTGTGCAGGTAGATGGACATAACAAACACAACCAAAAACACGCAGTTGGTTATAGTTGGGATGAGCTTCATGCAAGCAAAAATATGGAGATTGATGTTGAAGCTTTGGAGAAGGCAATCTATTGATAAGATGTGCAGCTGTGGAAAGTGCTTCCACCCAAATATGAGAGGGTACTGATGCATCAAGAAGTAGGGTCCGAGTAACATCCAAAAGATGCCTATTTTTTCTCTAAGCTACTCCATTTTGTTGAGTAGATGGACAAGTTTGTTGGGAAATGATTCCTTCATTTTTAAGATAATTTTGAAATTCATTTTTCATATATTCGCCTCCGGAATCAGAACGAAGAATTTTGATGGATGTGGAAAACTGATTTTTTTATCTAAGCCAAAAAACGCTTAAAGGCATCAAAAACTCCAGATTTAGAATGCAAAAAATAAATCCACGTGTGTCGACTATAATCGTCGATGAAGGAAACAAAATATGTGTGAGAATGAGAGGGAAATGGAGTATCCCCCCAAACATCGGTATGAATCAAATCGAAGCATTTTGTAGTAATGTCACTATGAATTGGAAAAAGAAGAGTTACTTTTACCCAATTTACAACTACTACAATCAAATGAGACATCATTGAAAGAAATAGGGTCTTTATCAGAAAACAAACCAGATTTCAACAAGAACAACAATCTTTTGGTATTAGGATGCCCCCAATCATTTATGCCACATCTGATATGACGTACTAGAAGAAGGACAAAATAATGAAAACAAAGATTTATTCCTGGGATAGCTAAACAAGCTTAGAGGAAACAGCCTTCCACATTTATGTCCCTTCCCGATCACTTTCCCCGACTCCTGATCCTGCACAATACATCCAGATGTAGAAAATGAGACTTTGCAATTGTTATCAACCAATTGACCGTGACACAAACTGAGAAAAGAATTTTCTTCGTACTTTTCTAATAATCCACAAAACATTAGCTATATACATCAACCCTAGCAGCAGAAAAGGAAAACTTACTAGGTTATATCAAATCTCATGATTTATGTCTAATAGGATAGGAAACTAACCAAATCAGCCTAATTCTAGGAATACAGGCTGTTACAAAATTTCCTAAAATAGCTAACTATACACGTATAGAATACAAGTCATTAAACACGTTTTCCCACACTCCCCCTCAAGTTGGCGAATAGGTATTTTCCATTCCCAGCTTGGATACAATACTCTGAAACACTGAACTACTTAACCCCTTGGTAAGTACATCAGCAAGTTGGTCATGTATAGACACATAAGGTATACAAATCAATCCGCTCTCCAACTTTTCTTTGATGAAGTGTCTATCAATTTCAATGTGCTTTGTTTGGTCATGCTATACCGGATTACGAACTATGCTGATTGCGGACTTAATATCGCAATAGAGTCTCATTGGACCATCCCACTTAA